AAAGTTTTAATTATGTAGGTCAAATCTGAATTTTCGTCTCTTCCAGTAGATAACAGTATCAATGCTGATAAATATGAATGTTCCCCGTGATGGTGGTAAATAGAGGAAGTAGTTTTTGTACGACTCTCCTGCTCTTGTCTCTCACTGTGTCTCTCTGGCACAGTAATACACTGCAGTGTCTGCAGTCTGCAGAGTGTTCATCTGAAGATAGAGTTTACTGCTGGAGTCATTTCTGGAGATGGTGAATCTGCCCCGGACTGACGAGGAGTAAGAGATTGGTGTACTGGCTGTGCTTATAAAGGAAAGCCACTCCAGTCCTTTTCCAGGAGCCTGTCTGACCCAGTTCATGGTAGCTTGCTGAATGTGAATCCAGAGGCTGAACAGGTCAGTCTGTGGGATTCTCCAGGCCTTTTAACCACTGCTTCAGATTGTGTCAGAGTCTGAGCTTTAACACCTGTAAAGACATTTAAAAAAGTCAATTGAACATAGTTGGCAACATCAAGAGAAAACTAAGACTTTGATGATCATCACCTGCCCAGCAGACAGTAAAAAGCAGCAGTCCTGTCCTATAGTCCATCATGTTCAACTGTGTGTCCACTGTTCTCTGTCGTCCTCTCTGCTCTCACATAAGTAGAGGAGGAACACATCAGAGATTTACATTGACTCCTCCTCAGAGTGATTAGAAAATAATTTAATTTGGATATCACCTCTTTACTAAATTTTCAAGGCAATTGACCTTTTTATTTGCTAATCTTGCTAATCCATTTTTTTTCGGTATTTCAATTCAGGCAGACATTCAGTAAGAACACAAAGCAGAATAACACACATCTCCACTTTTTGACAGTTATGAAAAATACAGTAACATCTGTGATCACATTATTGGTGTGAGGGCTCCTTCTCTGGTGGCTTCATGTTACTGGTGTTCAGGCTCTGAAGCAGGGGTCTCAAACTCAAACTGGCATGGGGCCACTGGGAGTACTGTCGACTTAAAGGAGGGCCACTACAAAGTTCAAGCACCACAAAAAGGACTTTATTTTTGCAAATGTACTTTTTGTTTCCGCAAAATTTTGTCACACATCACTAATACAAACAGCAGTTTAGATACATTTTTCAAAACATCTGCTTTTATTTAGTAGTGCAAGTCTTTTGTGTTTGCTTTATAACTTAAATAACTAAAATAACTTAATCAAATAATAAATAAAACCTGCACTGAACCAAAAAATGCAGTTACTCAAAATACCAGTACATTAATCCTGCATTCTATTTCTTGCCAGACACCTGGCAGCGCTTCTGCTCACACAGATGAGCCACATTTACCTTGATGGAGGTCACAGTTGAAACCCTGAGTACAGCTTCAAGGTGTGCATCACTAAGCCTGGATTTTATTTGCTTGCATTTATTAAAGTTCATTGTCGAGAAAAGTTTCTCACACAGATATGTGCTTTCAAAAAGGCACATTACACGACTGAACAATTTGGATAGCTCTGGGAAGGATGCAGGTAATTCTCTTAGAAACTGTCCAGTCAGGTCTGCCTTCCCTGTACCTCTCTGAATTTATTTTTCAGTTCACTGTTACACTGCAGGTCAACAAGTTCCATTTGCAACACACTTGGGACACTCTCAACATCAGCTGAAAAAGGGTCTGCAAATACCTGGAAAGTGACCCGGTGTTCCTTGAAGTCAGCAAAACGCTGATCAAACTCCTGCAGAAGATTGTCAATAGCAGAGGTATATTCATCACCACTGAATGCTGTGCCCTGTTCCACAAGAGATCTGAATGCTGGGAAATGACTGAGGTTTTTGGCAGAGAGCTGAGTTTTCCACAATCTCAGTTTTGTGCAGAAGGCTTTCACACTTTCATATGCTGCTGTTATGAGCTGATCAGGACCCTGGAGCTTCAGGTTGAGGATGTTCAGCTGCTGTGTTATGTCCACTAGGAATGCAAGGTCCATAACCCATGAACTCGTACTGCTTTGGTGCAAAATCTTTGGCAAAGCATGAGAAGGAAACCTCCTCTCCCCATCACATGAGGAAAACACTTTAAGAGTTGGCTCCTTATAAATCGGCACTGTAAAACAAAGATATACACAAATATATGTTTGCGCAAGCAGGGAATAAAACGTACAAAGATATATATGCAGAAGCAATATTTTCAAAATGCAGTCGACTTCGAGGTTAACTTAATTTGACTTTTTGACTTGTGGCTTCTCCTCAAATTTACACTTTTAAACGGAAAGACTCAGGAGGAAAAAATAACATTACTAAACACAGCATGAGCTTTAATGCTCACTTCTGCATATATATTTACTGCTCAGCAAGCAAACATGGATCAACCCAAACCTTAATTATCAGCATACAGGTCAATCTATCTGCATAACTTTAATTATGCAGATGGATAGAAACAAGCATGGCACATTGCAATGCTGTGATTGTAGACAGGTGCAGAGGACATGCAGAATATTAGTAAGGAGTAAAATAGACCGAGTCAGCAGCGGAATATGCATGAGAAAGTGTCAACCTTCTTATTTCACCTCACTCTTTTGTTTGCACGCCAGAGTCACTAATTATTCAAGTAAAAAATATTAAAGGATATTTCCCAGTATCTCACATTAAAACAGTGTTTTTTGTTGATTTTATTATCTTTTATGTTTCAAATTCTTTTGAAATTGAGTATATTTCTGTAGTAGACTGACAGAATCATGTTAAAGAAATTCAGTTTTGTTGAAAAATTACACCAATAACTTAAACATTTACTTAATTATTACTCTTATTATTATTTGCAGTAGAAGTATTTGTAGTAGTTTTGTAATTATAATTATTACAGAAGTATTGTAGTACTTTCTAAGTGTACAGTAAAATACATATCTTTCTAATCTACATGATGTAGACTATTTTTATAGGCAGATTATTTGTATTTATTTGATATCTTTATTGCATTTTTCATAGTAACATTGTAATATTAACATATTCTATATTTATTTAACACAACCAGATATATTAATTGATTTATCTGAATTAATTAAAATATTCTTTCTAATTTATTAAATATGTCCTGACACATTTTACAGATCACAGTGAGCCTATCAAGTACGACCATTTTTACTGCATGTACATTTCTATCAATGCAAATTTAAACAATATAAAATGAGTTTAAAAATGCATGATAATATATATTATCATCTCTGCCATCTTAACCTGCTACATGTAAAAATCAGCTGCTATAAGGTATTTATATGACTGAGCAGAAGTCTTACGTGTCACGATGAAAATCCCCTCTCCGTCTCCTGCTGTGTTTGATGCGATGCATTTAAAGGTCTGCTTTGCATCCAAGTCCTCTTTGTTCACTTTGATTTGACTGATTCCTGTATAAACACCACTCTTCTCTACTGGAGGATACTGGATGAAGTCCGTCAAGGCAGTTCCAGCTTTGCTCCACGCGTAGGTCACCGAGGAGGGCGAGAAGCCAGTGGCAAGGCAGCCAAGAGTGACGGTGTTTGCAGTCTCAGACCCGCATTGCATCAGAGGAAACACGGTTGGTTTGGATGAAGTGGCTAAAAAAAAAAGAGCAGAAAAAAAATACTGAAATGAAAATGAATCATTAAAGAAATTTGTTATTAAACTTAAATCACACATGAAGAGAAGTCGGCTCACTTTTAACAGATGGCTTAAAGCATTGGATTGAAGAATACATTTTGACACCTTTACCTGATGTGGAAACTACGCTCCATACAGTTCTTCCATCTCATCTGCTATCTCTCTTTTTACATGTTATTGTTTGAGCTAACTTTCACCAGTAAGATGATTTTTGTGGTTTTCATATGTTTGATTTTTTTGAAGTCTACAACTTCGACTACAACCGCTCTGAGTTATATTTTAGACTGAATAGATGAAGATGTAAATTCTTTGAATATACGGCAAATTATTTAGTGGCAATTTTTTGTTCTTGACATACTTTTATTTAAATCAAGTAAATAATTTAGGAATTCAATTGTTCTTAACTGATGTAACGGTTACAGTTGTACCTTTTCTCCAGTAGTCAAAAGAAGTAGAAAAGTTTAAGTTACTTCAAATATAAAAAGGGCTACGTCTGCTTATGTTTTGTGCACTACCAACGGTTCTTGCAAATTTAACTTGCTAAAGACAATCGACATTGCATCTTCTTACAAAGTTACTGTTCAACTACACAAAAGTATCCTACTTTAAAAGTGACATTTAAATCTGAAGTATCACTACTTTAAATGTAACTTAAAAAATGACATTTTGCAGTGCAAATCTTACCTGATGTCACCGTTACCATTGTGCCTTTACCCCAGTAGTCAAAAGCATCCCAGTTATCACAGTAAAGAAAGTCAATAAGGACTTGTCACAAAAACCTATCACTGTAATATCCCACAACCTCTTGTTGAATATTTTGATGTCAACAACAGTAAAAGATTCTAAGTAAAATATGCATCTTTGAATAGCATAAAATGTAAACCGAACTCTAAACTCTTTACCCGGCTACAAAAATTAGTTAGCCATTTTATCCTTGGCTACTTTCCCATGACCACATCAAAAAGATAACATTGCATCAGTAATAGAATAAGACATTAAATTCAGAAATGTTAAAGATACATACCTGAAGTTACAGTGACCATTGTTCCTTTACCCCAGTAGTCAAAAGCCCAGTTATCACAGTAAAGAAAGTCAATAAGGACTTGTCACAAAAACCTATCACTGTAATATCCCACAACCTCTTGTTGAACATTTTGATGTCAACAACAGGAAACAATTCTAAATAAAATTTGATTCTTTGAATAGAAGTAATTTAAAACTGAACTCTGCAGCCAGGAGTTTGAAGTCTTTCTCAAACTCTTTACCCGGCTACAGAAAACAGTTTGCTGTTTTATCGCTGGCTACTTTCCCGTGGCCACATCAAAAAGATAACATTGCATCAGTAATCAGATAAGACATTAAATTCAGAAATGTTAAAGATACATACCTGAAGTTACAGTCACCATTGTGCCTTTACCCCAGTAGTCAAAAGCGTAGTCACAGTTGGACAATATATTAACCACGGCATACAAAAACCTGTTCTCAGGAATCAAGATATTTAACGGTTCGTAATTTTTAATATTATCTATCCTTTTGCATTTTTATATTTACCTCTGCAAGTATCAACTCAGAAAAGGCATGATTTCCAAAACAAAACACAAATAACATACAGTATTCAAGGTGTCTCAACTACAAAACAAGCAGTTGACTTACCTGATGTGACGGTCACCATTGTTCTTTTCCCCAGTAATCAAAAACACCATCACAGTGTTATATATCACAGCATTTATCATACAAAAAGTGAACCAACCACTGAAGTTGTTGTCTAAATTTGTTTGTCATCACCGCAACATTCAGCATACAAAAACACACCATAACGATGTTTCTCATGCCGCTGAGGGCTAAATATGTTAAATAAAACAGTAGTTTATATTTCTTAAACATGAGGACAGAAAGAGGGTTTTTACCTGTTGTGACGGTCACCATCGTTCCTTTTCCCCAGTAGTCAAAGTAGTAGTCACAGTGTAATGAGTCAACACATTCAACATACAAAAACGAGCACCATGAAGATGTTCCTCAAGCCACTGAGGTCTAAATATGTTAAATCAAACAGTATATTCTAATTTCTTAAATATGAGGACAGAAAGAGCCTTTTTTACCTGTTGTGACGGTCACCATCGTTCCTTTCCCCCAGTAGTCAAAGTAGTCGTAGTAGTCACAATGATTGGTTTCAATCACACTTTAGTGCAAAAATCCTCTCGAGCTTGTGTCATCGAATAAATCGATGTACTTCATCGGTAAACCAGTTTGTATGCCTTATATTTACCCTAATGTAAATGCTGAAGACTGTACGTTGGTTTGAGTACACAATAAATCAACATTCATTTAATTAAACATTGTAAATCATCGACTGCATTCATTAACATGTATTTTGATTATTACTTACCAGAAGTTACTGTGACTTGGGTCCCTCTTCCCCAGTAGTCAAAGTAGGCATCACAGTGATATATTACAGTCTGCTTATAATATAAATACTAAACGTGTTGTTTAATCAGTGAAAAGATAACATGTTCCACTGACAAAAGCTATTCCCACTGTACTATTTATTAACCACGTCCCTAGAGATATTTATTTCCTGTGGTGTGGGTTATATAATATTAAGTGTGTTTGACAACGGTTAGTGTTCACTTCCTCTTTATCTCATTCTCCTTTCTCAGGTCTGGATAGTGCAGCATGGAGTTAACACAACCAGATGTATTAATTGATTTATCTGAATTAATCCAAACCTGCAAAAATGTGTATGATGTAGGGCTGCGTTGCCTCAAGTCCTCATTCTATACCAGCTAAACATAATAAATATAAAGTCTTTGCACATATCTAATTCATCTGCATAGCTAATTCAATCAGCAACACTATCTTTACTTGTGATGTCCTGTGTTTCAGTCCTTAACTTTGGTTTGGTAATTTACAATCTCACAATCCATCAGCTTTCATCTGACAGCAATATATGCCTCAGGAATGATGGCCTAACTTCTAGTGTTGTAGGACTCAAAATCGGTCTTGGTCTCGAGACTTTTTGAAGGTCTCTTTTTGGACTCTAGAAATTTTTACTTGGTCATGTCCAGTGTTGGGAGGGTTACTTTTAAAATGTATTCCCCTACAGATTACTGATTACATGTCCTAAAATGTAATCTGTAATGTATTCCCTTGGATTTCTCAAGTAAAGTAATGTATTCTAAATACTTTTGGATTACTTTTAGATTACTTACTACTAGCTGAGCGTGTTTATCTGGAACACTGAATTTAGTTAACACATGCTTTAGAGAACGATCTAATTACTGTCTTCAGAGAAAAAGTTATGCAAGTACACAAAACACAAATGTGCAACTTGAAGAAAAATGGCATCCATTCAATTTCCTTTACCTTTATTAATTTCCACAGCTCAGAAATTAGAGAAGTTAAAGTGCAACATGGCTGCTTTAACTAGCAGGTGTATAACAAAGCAAAAACATGCTTTAAATGTGCATAAAATAAAAATTGTAAATTGCATTGAGAACAATACAGGGTGCAATCATCCACTTCGTGAACTCACAGCAAACACATTATGCATGGTCAAAAGGTGACTTGGGGCGCTGGTGGCTCAGTGGTTAGGGCACATGCCCCATGTATGGAGGCTGTGGTCTCAAGCAGGCAGCCCGGGTTCAAGTCCAGCCTGCGGCTCCTTTCCTGCATGTCATTCCCCACTCTCTCTCTCTCCCTGGTTTCCGACTCTATCCATGGTCCTATCTCACAATTAAAGGCACAAAAAGCCCAAACTTAAATCACTTAAAAAAGGGCCAGTGTATATCTCAGAAAGCTTAACACTCTTATGTGTACAGGCAATATTTAAGTGCAGCTTCATATCTAGTTTACATGCCTGTAGGTGTATTCTGTGACGGTAGTTGTGAGGACAATATATGCACTAGGTAATGTGGTGGAGGAAATGGCTTTTTTTGTACATTACTCTTTTTGCACTTAAATGACAAGAAGCCAAAAGAATCGTAGAGTGAATCCATGGCTTTGATGACTGCCATGATTATATGCGCAGAGAACTGTACCTGTGTAACTTTCTCCATTAATTTTCCCTTCAGGCTGAGAATTGTGGGTATCAAAAAGCCAAGGAAACAGTTCTTTTCGCCCTGGAGAAGGTCGATTGACTAGGCGAGTGGTTTCAGAACTGCAGTGTACTCCTTCAAAAACACAACCTCTTGAGGTTGTAGTTTGGCCACATTGAGACGGTCACAGACTTCAATGAGCTGGGCTTCGGTGAGACTCATTACCTTTTCAATAGCTTGATACTCTGAGCTCCATCTGGTCACAGAGGGGACAACACACCTCATGTTGGCAATGTCTTCAATCACTTCAGCTGCACCTGGTGAGCGGTGAGCTTTGTTCCAAATGGCAGAACATTTTGACGTGGCACTTCTGTACAATTTCCGTGTGGGACCTTGTGATGCAGCCTTATCCAGATCATTTGTGGCGATCAGGTTAAGGGTGTGAGCTGCGCATCGCTGGTGTGGGGGTAAATAAAAGTTCTCATCTTGCTCCTCCTGGACCTCGTCAAGAATTGCAGCAACATCTGCAAATTGCACATCATCTGTGTTCTCTTCTACATCCGATGCTCCATATTCTCTGAAAGCTTTGACAAAATTGCTTCCATTGTCAGTCACTGTTGCTGTGACTTTGCCCTGGATTTGAAACGCACCATGTATCTCGCTAATTTTTGTTGCAATGACATCGTGTGTGTGGCGTCCGCTTATTTTTTCACATGCCAACGCTGCCGATTTCCTCTCCAATGTCTCTGGCTCAATCCAGTGACAAGTGATCCCTAAATAACTCCTATGGTGGGCAGTCCATATATCTGCTGTCGTGCATACTGTATGAATCCCATGGAGTTTTCTGGTTATTGACCCTTTCGTGCTCTGGAACGCTTTGTTGATGCGCTGTGAGTGTAGGACAAGCAACATGCGAGCCGGCGGACATTAACCCTCCTTTCACATTAACCCTCCTTTCTTTCCCCGCATGTGAGCACTCTCAGCCGGCAGAGCTGGATTAATAGCTGCCGGGGTCATTTCTCTGTTAATGCTAATTAGCCAACTTACCTCAAGATGCTTCTTCAAATTAGACGTGGAGTCCCACGATGCTGAAAGCAGCTTCGTTGACGGTAAGCAAAGCTTGCACTGCACTGTGATGTTGCGGCCTTCTTGACCAGGTTTGTAGGTAAAATGTTCTCTGAATTTCCATGCCAAAAATGCATTTTTGTCCTCCTCCGGGTCGTTTTTCTCATCCTCTGCCATTGTCATTCGGTTGTGTGGAAAGTGCTATCACGCATTGACTTGCAGCGTACCTGCGCACATAATGCCACCTGCTTCTGCATCTGCACAGTGCAACCTGCGTGTAGTTCCGTAAAGTAATCCCTACAAGTAATCCTTTTTTTGAGAAAGTAACTGTATTCAGAATACACCAATTTAAACTGTAACTAGTACTACAGTCTGTGGGATTCTCCAGGCCCTTTAACCACTGCTTCAGATTCTGTCAGAGTCTGACCATCAACACCTGTAAAGACATTTAAAAAAGTCAATTGAACATAGTTTGCACACATTAAGAGAAAACTAAGACTTTGATGATCATCACCTGCCCAGCAGACAGTAAAAAGCAGCAGTCCTGTCCTATAGTCCATCATGTTCAACTGTGTGTCCACTGTTCTCTGTCGTCCTCTCTGCTCTCACATAAGTAGAGGAGGAACACATCAGAGATTTACATTGACTCCTCCTCAGAGAGAAATAACATTTGACTTCTGTCTTGGATACTTTAAGTTTAAAGGTCATCAGTTGTATCATGCCAGTAGAGTGAAATCAGAGATTAACTTGAAAATAGGAAAAGTTTGTTATTATTTTTTATAGGTATACAATGATGCAGGAGTCAGAACAGCTGCCAAATATATTTGATTTAAGTCATTGAGATTTGCTCGTATCCAGGAGGAATCCTAATCAGATGCCCAAACCATCTCAACTGACTCCCTTCGATGCAAAGGAGTAGCAGCTGTACACCAAACTCCAATGTCTGAGCTCCTCACCCTATCTCTAAGGCTGAGCCCAGCCGCCCCCGGAGGAAACTCATTTAGGCCTTTTGTAACCACAATCTGATTTTTCCGGTCACTACACTTAGCTCATGACCATAGGTGAGGGTTGGAATGATGATCGACCGGTAAATCTAGAGCTTTGCATTGCATTATTGTACTTGTAGTATAATTGTATCTCAAAGTAAACTTTGTTCTTTTGCTTTGACTTTTACATCTCTACATGTGTATTTTTCTCTCCTCATTATTTAACTGGTGTTTTAATCCTTACTGGTCTGGGGGCTCCTCCTCTGGTCGCTTCATGATTTTATTTCAGACTTTATCGGGTTTGTAATTACGTCATGTAAAAAAATATTCTTGTCATGTTTTGACAGTTTAGGTTTCTGTACTGCGTTGCTTCCTCTTGTGTCACTATGGCTCTCGAGCACAATAATAAACAGCAGAATCTTCCATCATCAGACTGTTCATCTGCAGAAACACCTGCTGTCTGCTGTTGTCTCTGGAGATGGTGAACCGGCCTTTGACTGAATTAGAGTAATAGATGCTACCACCACTACTAATATAAGCGATCCACTCCAGTCCTTTCCCAGCAGCCTGTCTGATCCAAGCGTTATGAGGATGACTAGAAAACCCTGAATATGTGCAGGTCAGTGTGTGAGATTCTCCAGGCCTTTTAACCACAGCGTCAGACTCAGTCAGTGTTTGACCCTCAGTACCTGCAAACATATAAACAGCTTGTTAGATACTGTAATGCACCAACAAGTTTGTCTGAAGAAATAGTCACCATTCTTACCTGTCCAGTTTAGTGACAGGATGAGAAATAGAACCAAACACTCAGGTTCTGTCATTGTGAAAGCTTTCGTCTTTGTCAAGTCTACAGAGTGTGTTTGTGCTTCAATCTGCAACACTTATGTAGTGATGGAAGACATCAGAGATTTACATTGACTCATCCTAATCAGAGAGAAGGTCACTAAATGTTCTATGATATAATATGATTTATTCACACAAAAATAATGATGTATGCAAACCTAAAGTAATTGGTCCCTTTGTTTTGCATACATTTAGATAGATTCCAAAAATGTCTTTCTAGGGAATGTCTCATACTACCAAAAGGATTATGAATCTTTTTTTTTCATCAGTTCCTCATTGTATAGCCATGTACACTTTAATATAGACTATTTGTGTCATTGAACTGCTGTTATGATCATTATTGGTGTGAGGGCTCCTCCTCTGGTGGCTTCATGTTACTGGTGTTCAGTCTCTGAGAGGTTTTTGTTCAGCTCTACTGATGGGTTGTGTCACTGTGGCTTTCTGGCACAGTAATACACTGCAGTGTCTGCAGGCTGCATATTCAGTCCGTTTAGGGTCACCCTGTTGTTAGAGGCGTCTAAGTCGATACTGAACTGGTTCTTCAGTGAATCTTTGTAGTGAGTGCCTCCAGTGTATCTCATTCCAATCCACTCCAGTCCTTTCCCTGCAGGCTGTCTGATCCAGGCTGTGTAGTAGCTGCTAACAGAATAAGAGACCTGGCAGGTGATGGTCAGACTCTGACCTGGCTGCACAGTCACAGAGGCTGGCTGTGTCAACTGTTCACACTTCACACCTGTTAAAAAGAGAACATGTTTAGTTAGAAATGATCAAGTTAAACTGCAGAAGAAGAACTGTTGACTTTGACAGATGCAGACAGACTCACATCCAGCTGCCAGCAGCAGCAGCAGAGCTACAGAAAACATGGTTGATGTTGAAAGTGACGTGCTGTGAACTCCACTGACAGCCTGATGGGAAGTTTTTATAGCTGAGTAACAAGGAAGCTCACTGAGTTTGCATACAATCAAACATATGAAGCATCAATGATGGTCTGACTGGAGCCAATAGGAGAGTCTGTTCACTGTTTTTATATCTGCAGAGTGAAAAGATGACTGGAAATCATCTCTGCTTTACATTTGCATTGACTCCTGCTATTTCAGGGAAAATGAGTCTGTATTTTTGGTTGATGGATGTGTGGTCAAGTCATATTTCAGCATTTATTTTCTGTGTTGTAACTGCAGCATGGTCTGGCAATATTCTGTAGAAAAACCTGATGTTGAATATGATCATTTCCTCATCCTTCTTTGTCCTGACATTCAGAAAATCTCAATTCAAAATTCAGAGGTGTGAGAATTCAGACCTCAATACTAAATTATTTCTGAGTACATTTTGTTTTCTGTGTTAAATGTGTCCAAAATTGACGCATGTGGAAAAAAAACAAGATCGTAGTTGTGTCAATTACTTTTGCACAATGACTCTGAAACTTTCGTCTGTTATTATTTCTCTCGGAACACGTTCAATTTTCTGAGTTTTTTCACAACCATCCCTGTGTGTGTGTGTGTGTGTGTGTGTGTGTGTGTGTGTGTGTGTGTGTGTGTGTGTGTGTGTGTGTGTGTGTGTGTGTGTATGTGTGTGTGTGTGTGTGTGTGTAGTGACCCTCCTTTAAACATGCTGTCACGTTGACAGATGCTGACAGATTGTCATCGTCTCCTGAGTGTGTTCATGCTTTCCAGCCTTATTTTCCCTGTTTGCTTTTCCCGGTTTTGAACTTTGTTTGGATTTTGTGGATTTGCCCTCGTTGGATTTTTCTCCCCTCGCTGACTGCCTCTCTGTGTTTGACCTACAAACATTTGAGTAGAGAACTTTTTCTTACTATCAGTTTTTTGTATCCTGGACTTTCCTCTGCATCTGAGTGTGGTTATGAATTGTTAAACAAAATGTCCATTATCATGAAATCACAGACAACTTGGAGAAGAAACTGTCAAAGTTAAAAATTATTTGACACTCTGTGGCCAATCACAGTCCAGTAATACCTCCGGACCATGATGTAGGAGTCTGATATTGAATAAATCACATTTTGATTTTTGTATTTCTGACACGTATTCACAAACAATTTTTATAATTTGATGTTGAGACAGCTGAATCTTCCCAGTGATGGTTGTAAACAGAGGAAGTAGTTTATGTATGACTCTCCTGTTATTGTCGCTCACTGTGGGTCTCTCACACAGTAATACACAGCAGTGTCTTCAGGCTGCATATTCTGCCCTGTTAGAGTCATTGTTGCAGCAGACGTGTCTCTGCTGTAGCTGAACTTGTTCTTCAGAGCATTATTTTAGTAAAAGCTTCCTCCCCACCGTTCAAAAATCCAGTCCATCGGTTTCCCTTCACGCTGTCTGATCCAACCTGTTGCATAGCTGTTATCAGTCAGAGAGTAACCAGAGACCTGACAGGTGAGGGTCAGAGACTGTCCAGGCTGCACAACCATTGAGCCTGGTGTGATGAGATCAATACAGTGCACACCTGTAGAAACACAAATCATCATTATCTCCATCACTCATCTGATTATTCTCTGTGTCTGATGTGATCATTAGTTATAAAGCTTCCTACATGATCCAGTGACCAGCAGTAGAATCAGAGCTACAGAGAACATTTTTTCACTTGAAGTGATCTGATGGAGCTTCTGATCTTCTCTGACTCACAGCCTGATGTCAAGTCTTTATATCAGACTGTGAGGAAGTTCACTTTGCATATAAGGACACAGGGAGGCTATGAAAGAAGGTTCACCTATGTAGTGCTCAGGAAGTGAACTGACACCTCTCGAGCTACCAGACCAATTTCAGACATGACCTTAACCTGTGACCCTCAGAATCCCAGTCCAAGTCCCCACAATCTAAGATACTGCCCCCCCCCCCCTTACTTTATTACTATAATTCATCAAATTATGTAATTTGTGTTTGAGATCCCAGAAATGTATTATAAATAAACTTTGTTATATTTCTTTCACTTTTACTTTAAGCAATATAACTATATGAATCTATAAATGAGTATTTTTTACTCTTCAACAGTGAACTGGTGTTAAGATCATTATTGGTGTGAGGGCTCCTCCTCTGGTGGCTTCATGTTACTGGTGTTCAGGCTCTGAGAGGTTTTTGTTCATCTCTACTGATGGATTGTGTCACTGTGGGTCTCTGGCACAGTAATACACTGCAGTGTCTTCAGTCTTCAGACTGTTCATCTGCAGATACAGCTGCTGTCTGCTGTTGTCTCTGGAGATGGTGAACCGGCTTTTGACTGAATTAGAGTAGTAGATGCTACCACTACCACTACTAATATAAGCGATCCACTCCAGTCCTTTTCCTGCAGCCTGTCTGACCCAGTTCATATCATAGCTGCTGAATGTGAATCCAGAGGCTGAACAGGTCAGTCTGTGGGATTCTCCAGGCCTTTTAACCACTGCTTCAGATTCTGTCAGAGTCTGAGCTTTAACACCTGTAAAGACATTTAAAAAAGTCAATTGAACATATTTGGCACACATCAAGAGAAAAATAAGACTTTGATGATCATCACCTGCCCAGCAGACAGTAAAAAGCAGCAGTCCTGTCCTATAGTCCATCATGTTCAACTGTGTGTCCACTGTTCTCTGTCGTCCTCTCTGCACTCACATAAGTAGAGGAGGAACACATCAGAGTTTTACATTGACTCCTCCTCACAGGGACTGAATTAACTTGGGTCTCAGTTTTTGTCTGTTTGAACTGGAAATTAAATGTTAGATGGCTTTTCCCCTTTGAGTCTGATTTGCATGATCTGAATTAAAGTGTGCATGAGGTTGAAAAAGTCAGTATTATTGTTCTAACGGGAAAGATGATCTATATTCAGTGGTGATTCAAGAGTCTGTTGGGGCCCTATAGGTAAAAATGTATTGTTGGGCCCTCCAACCAGCGTTCATCACCATCATGTCTGCCAGTGTCCCGACGCTTACTCCTCTTCCTTTTTTTCCCATTTTTTTTTTCTCCCCTATATACGGATAATTCTCCTTCATTTTTCTTTATCAGCTTTCATTGACAAACTCTGGTTTCCACAGCAAAATAATGCATGCAACGTTCAGCAGGGCAACATCATATATCAGAGATCATTTTCTCAAAATACTTATAAACTGTCCATGAACTATAAGGAGCAAGAGATGATTTGATCATTATCAGGAACTACTTAGAGGACACTAATCAAAGTTAGAATTAAATCAACAACCTGTGACCAATCAGAATCGAGTATAAAACCTGACCATAGTATATGATTCCAAGATTCAATCAACCAATACTCAGATTTTTTTAAACTGAAATTAAAGATGCTGATACAGCTGAATGTGCAGTGATGGTGGTAAACAGAGGAAGTAGTTTTTGTATGACTCTCCTGTTATTGTCTCTCACTGTGGGACTCTAGCACAGTAATACACTGCAGTGTCTTCAGGCTGCATATTCTGTCCTGTTAGAGTCACTGTTGCAGCAGACGTGTCTCTGCTGTAGCTGAACTTGATCTTCAGAGCATTATTTTGACGAAGTCCACTTGTACCCCACTGATGAGAGATCCAGTCCATCGGTTTCCCTTCACGCTGTCTGATCCAACCTGTTGCATAGCTGTCATCAGTCAGAGAGTAACCAGAGACCTGACAGGTGAGGGTCAGAGACTGTCCAGACTGCACAACCATTGAGCCTGGTGTGATGAGATCAATACAGTGCACACCTGTGGAAACACAAATCATCATTATCTCCATCATCCATCTGATTATGAGTTGTTTCTAAACAGTTGAAAAGCTCCTTACAGGATCCAGCGGTCAGCAGCAGAATCAGAGCTGCAGAGAACATGACTGATGATGAAGCTGATCTGATGTGGGCTGGTCTGTCCTCTCACTGATGCTCATACACACATGACTTATTTATATGGCAACACATGGAGGCCAATTTACATTCAGAGGGTTGTAGATCAGCTGACTTAGTTTCTAAAAGCTCTAAATGATGGGGAAGAGAAACAACAGAACACCTCACTGTTTCCCTTGTTGAAAGAAAAGGTGGAACTTCAGTTATTGTTAAATAATTTGAATCATGTCGTAATAACCATTTTATATAAATTAGGAAACAACTTTATTAAGTTAGCTGATGAACAAGGTTTCTGGTGTTGATGTACATACAGTATGATTCTAACAATAGTCAGTTTTGTATTTAATTGTATTTAAAAGGTTCAGACTTTAAAAAGGTTCTTTTAAATTTGAACAAGGAAAATTCCAGAATGAGTACCTGACACATTTTTATTTAAGTTTTAATACTGAATAATGTGGGAAAGTGTGATTGATTTTTTTTCAATGTTGCAAATATGATTGTAACATAAAGTAATGAAAAAAAGTCTGCACAAGAAGGAGGAACTCTGAACCAAGATCAAAGAAGAATTATGTTGCTCAGTAAAATCTGCACAAAGGAGACAATAAGAAACCATCTTATCCTCATATCACCAAAACCTGTGTTGCAAGAAAGACAAAGTCTCTGAGCTCTGGTGCTGATTACACACATTTAAATCAGTCACTTTGCATACATGTAAGGCACATTTGGTCCCTTTTGTGTAAATGAGCACATCAATCAAAATATTTACATCAAATTAGAGGATATATTTTATTATATATGAAAGGGATTGCAACTTTGATTTATTTTTAAACTCTGTTTTTGAAATGAAATTGATAATATTATGTAAAAGTACAAGACTAGTAATACAAATGTACAGACAACAAACACTGAACAAAATTATTGTTCAGTGTTTGTTGTCAAAAGAGGAAGTAGTTTTTGTATGGTTCTCCTGTTATTGTCTCTCACTGTGGCTCTCTGGCACAGTAATACACTGCAGTGTCTGCAGGCTGCATATTCAGTCCGTTCAGAGTCGCTGTTTTGCTGGAAGAGTCAAAGTTGATACTGAACTGGTTCTTCAGTGAATCTTTGGTATATGTGCTATATCCCACAGCACCTAATATAATCCACTCCAGTCCTTTCCCTGCAGGCTGTCTGATCCAGGCTGTCCAGCATAGCTGCTAACAGAATAAGAGACCTGACAGGTGATGGTCAGACTCTGACCTGGCTGCACAGTCACAGAGGCTGGCTGTGTCAACTGTTCACACTTCACACCTGTGGAGGAAAACATGTTGAATATTGAATCAGTATGTTTAGAGTCATTGTGCTGTGATCATACTGTCAGTGCGTCTGCCTCAGTGAGACTCACAGGATCCAGCAGCCAGCAGCAGCAGCAGAGCTACAGGCAACATGGTTGGTGTTGAACCTGACATGATGGAGCTTCTCTTCTTCTCTGACTCACAGCCTGATGATGAATCTTTATATCAGACTGTGAGGAAGTTCAATTTGCATAGAGACAGACTTGGCTCGACTCCTAGCAAGCAAATGTATTTCTCATCATCTCTTCATATTCTGTTTATGGGATGGAAGGGTGATTTTTTGATTGTCTAAAGTATTTTGTCTGGTTCTGGGATAGTTAGTGTTCACCTTTTATGGTTTTGTTGACATTTTAGATAATAAATGTATCTGTTTATTTATCCTTATTTGACACAGGAATGTTTATTATAAATATCTACCAATCATGATTTGATCGTTGATGTTTACCTGTTGTCATGGTGATGTTAATCTGTGTTTAAATAACGTAGCCAAATAAAAGGGTATAACAATGAGATAGGCAGTGTTGTTGTGGAATCACCAAATCTGGAGTATGAGTCAAAGAAACAGAGTCACGTCAGAGTCATGACCTCGTTAACTGAGTTACTTTTCTGGATGAATCCTTGATAGATGTCTGCACAATTTGTGTTTCCTTTTTCGGCATCCTTACAGAGACAATATTCACATGCAGGTGAACTCTCGTGCCAGCACATGCTTGAAAGTGAATACATTTTAGGACCAAAAAAATCAAAAGTCTTTTTCAATCAATAAATATGAGCCATTTTCTCAAATTCCAAGTCTGAATGCAGTCAATAATGAAGTCTGGTTTGAATCACCAGTGCTTGTTTTCAAGTCGAGTCACAGTCCAGGACGTGATACTGAAACACTGGAGATTGGATTTTTTGAGACATTTTGATAAATCTTTTTTTCAATGTATTTAATGTCACAAAGTAGTTTTACTGTCAGCTAAATTCTGACGAGAGAGAAACACAACTTTAGACGTCACCAGCTTCAATGAAGTGACAGCCTGCAGGTCACAAAGCTTTTTATTATTGTCTCTATGATTTAAAACCAACAGTTAGGCTGAACCCACCGAATCAACTGCTGCTGAATGTT